GTTAACTTAGCAAGAAGAAGCTAAGATCAATGTAGAGATGTTATTAATTTTTTTATTTCTTTTTTCTCAATAGATTTTAGACCATGTTTGTTAAAAATCTATACCGTGTACGGGTTCTGGTACATTTTTTCAGACCTTCTAGACATTTTTTTCTTGGCTACATGAAAATGAAGACTTAATAATATAATTTGATGAACAAAATAGAGAAGAGGTAGCAAGAGAAGAAAGTCTGACTTTTTAATAGACCATGGCATGTAAAGCAAATTTCTAATTAGGGCTAAAATTATTTTTAACTCATTCTGCAGAGATCTGGAAATCTTATCTGTTAATGCTATTTATCTTGTCCATGTGGGCATGATCTTTAATAACAAAACACAGATGCAAGCACAAGTTGTATGAATTCAGATATTCCAGAATTAAATCATCTGAGATGTGGCTCAGATTAAAACTCTGTCTTGGCTTATATTTTAAACATATGGTGAAGGCTATGAAAGGTTATGAAATTGTTATGAACACGGGAACTGTACTTAAAAAATAAACCCAAGAGCTAATAAGGTGGGATGGATAATAGAATTACAGTCTTGGAAAGAGTCCCAAGGAAGTCATGTATAAATACCCAGACAATAATAGAACTAGAGTATAGTTAGTAGAGGCTTCAGCAGACATTTCTGAGTAATATCAGGGAGATAACTGTATATTCTTAGCATTCGTTGTTTCTCTGTCCAGTACTTTTTAATGTGTATACTTCTTAAACTACCTATCAGAGAAAGAGAAATTTGTCTGCTTTTCCTTTTAAAGCAAAGTTAGCAGTCTTTTAACAGACTGCTAACTGTTTTTTAACACTACTGCTTCATAGTGCTTTACAACCCTCTCTAAGGGGTTTACAGAGTCATCTTGTTCCCAACAATCTGGGTCATCATTTTACAGATCTCTGAAGGATGGAAGGCTTGAGCCCATCAGGATCGAACTCCTGGCTGTGAGCAGAGTTAGCTTGCAATACTGCATTCTGCACCACCAGAGTATGTATTAGCAAAAATATTAATATAAGACAAATACAGGTAATCCTCAATTTACAACAGTTCATTTAGTGACCAATTGAAGTTATAACGGCTCTGAAAGAGGGTGACCTATGACTGTTTGCCACACTAATTACTGTTGCAGCTTCCCCATGGTCATGTGATCAAAATTCAGATGCTTAGCAACTGACTCATATTTATAACATTTGACGTGTCCCAGGGTCATATGATCACCTTTTGAGACCTTCTGACAAACAAAACCAATGGGGAAGCCAGATTCACTTAACAAGCTTGTTACTAACTTAACCGCAGTGATTCATTTAACGACTGTGGGAAGAAAGGTCCTACATCTCAATAGAGATATTAATTTTGTGCTAGGATTTTTCTCAGAAAAATTCTCAGACAAATGTGCAGTAAGCAAGCACAAATGAAACAAAGAGAGAGAAATAGGAAACCACAGAAAATGTGACTCACTCCTGCAAATAAAGGATCATTATTTTCTGTCTGCAAGACATATTTATTTTATCTCACTTTTCTTCTGGGGATCTCAGTTCATTACATAAGGTTATACATCTCTCAAATACTTTAATGATGAGTGTGATGAAAGACTTGTAGCTTACTGTGACTTTGAACTCAAATCCTTTGCTTCTGGACTGACCCCTTCCCATGTAAGTGGATATGAACATTAGCTGGATGAAGCAATGTTTAATACCTTGAAATAGGAGGGTGGGCAGTCCATCTCCCCTAGCCCCAATTTCATTAATTTTGTAGCCTGTTAGGCTCTGTAGATTCTGCTTCATGTAACTCTTGCTAATATAATTGCAATTGATGGATCATGTTAATTAAGAATTGTAGCAATAATTGCAAGCCACACATGGTAAGAATGGCTTCAGGTGATAACGACATAAGAGCAGCAAGGAAGGGAAAAGAAGTAAACATTATTTATCCTTTTTGTTCCTCCACCAATGTGAGCTGTCTGAAGTTATTCTATTGGGCAGTAGATAAAAGACACAGGTCAGATTCCAATATTCCTGCTTTTCTTGTCCTGCAGGCATGACTGGTGGTATGGTCATCATTTTGTGGAATTGCTTAGGAAATGATGGTTGCTACAGAAACCAGGACAAGGTATCTATTGTCATAGTGTCTCAGATTTCAGGCTGCCTCGGACAAATTTCTCTGGTTCTCCAGAAGCAAATTTTCTTTCTATTTCCAAAGTTATCCTTCAATCAGGATTGACCTAGTTCAAGTTTGATGGGCTTTTTTTTGATGGGCATTAACTCCTGTGGTGGTAAAGGACTATTATTTATTTTTTACATTTATATGGATGTGGGTTCCCCTTTGATAAGAAACCTTACAAGGTCTATAGTGAGGGAAATTGTTTTTCTATTGCTGAGAATCCATCCATTAATTTAAATAGTTATTTTTCAACTGGAACACTCTTATGAATCTATATTAGAACAATGGTGTCAGTTGCATCCATAATATACTACAATGATGTGTAGGATGGCACACAATCACACAATTTTGCATCACAATTTTTGATGCAAATGTGTAAGTCATCACTTGCCCTCTTGTAGGCTTCTGTAAATTGTGTGATTTGATGCATGGTAATTTGCTATTAAACAGCTGGCCATCCAGAGCAATCAGCTACCTGATCACATTTTTATAAAAATAAATCAATCCAGGACACAGTTAATAAATAGATCACATTTATCGAAAGAGAGAGAGAGAAACATCTATACAAATGCAGAATCTTTTCAAAATGACATAAATGGCTGAAATGGCATTAGGAAATACTGAATTTTATATAACAAACAAGGAAGTATATAATCTTGTAGAAGTAGATGGGAGACCATTTAGTCCCACAAAAACTTCTACATATACTCACCTTACTTAATTATTAGACATCAGAGTGAACTTTTGTTTATGCCAGTAAAGCTTGCATTGCCAACTAAAGCACACATTACTATTCACATATATACAGTGTATGAGGTATAATATTACACAGAGGTGTGATATTCAAGGGCTGGTAGAACATTTTAGAAATCTAAATTGTGGACAGTAGGTTAACATTACGGAGACTGAAGTGTCTCTTCTCCCTGCTAGGCACGCATGTTCATACACAACCACATACATTACAGTACACATTCATGTCTGAGGTAATTTTATAAAAAATTCTATTAGTCCATTGGAAGGAAGGGAGGAGGGAGGGAGGGCGGGAGGGGAGGAAGAAAGGAAAGAAAGAAAGATGGATGGAAGGAAGGAAGGAAGGAAGGAAGGAAGGAAGGAAGGAAGGAAGGACGTCAATGAGACTGATGGGGGCAGGAGGGACCTGGGCTGGCGCAATTGTACTCCCATTATTCCTTACAATATCTCCCTATTCAAGACAAATGGGTTAAAACCTTTTTAGTAATTCTGAGGTATGCAAAATTCAGTTCTGTTCTGATATATGACCATTATGATAGCTGAAAATTATCATAAGTGAAAAGAGAGAGAGAAAAAGAACACCAAGAAAGGAGGAAAGATATTTAGGCAGCTGGCTCAGAACAAAATTTAATTCTTATTCACATGGATACTATAGATACTAAGAATTATTTAAGAGTCAGATAAGATAATCAAGTAGGCTTTTAGTAACAAACAAAGCTAATTCTGACATCGCTTTTTTTCTCCATAAACATTCTGGTAAACAGATTGTCTGGAAGAAATCCAACAATATTAAGGTTTTTTTTAAAAAAATGGAAACAGGTGCAACAGATGTCTTCAACTTGGTTCCCTCCAGATGTTTTGGACCAATTCCAAGCAAAGGCCAAGGAATTCCAACTGATCTAAAGGGCAGTAGGTTGAGGAAAGAAAAGCTATGTTTTTATTATAAAAGTATATAAGCTCTCACTCACTCTGTATTAGGGTGCACTCAGTATTGTGGTACATGGACAATGGACACAGCTTGGAAGACAGTCATGCTAAATTTAAACTCTGAACCCTCCTTTTGCAAATAAATAATTTCTCAGCCATTTGAACATGAGAAAAATGTAGCTGGTGGTCAGATATTTTTAGTGAGAAATAAATATCATTGTTTAATATAACTTGCTCAACCTTAAGTGCAAGCTTTGTTCAACAATGCATGCTTAAATGTTTACACCCATTTTTAGTCTAGATTGGCCTAGAGCCTTATACGGTTTATACCACAATCTCATGTGTGTTTATATAAAGTTCTACTGTTCAATTGGACTTACTCTCAGGCTTACTTTCAGCTTCATCTCCACAGGTTTACAACTTTAATGTGAGAAAGTTGGAGGACAGAGCATAACACCTGGCATTGCACATCCAATGTCATTATTACCAGTATGGTAGAAAGCATAATCATTATTGTGGAATAAAAATGAATGGAATTTGGCTGGGTGTACAATAAAAGTTTCGAAGTATATGGATATGATGTTTTTTAGGAACAGAAAATCACATGAAACATGTGTGCTGGTTCTTACAGTACATACATTTCAATTATTTACATATCATGTAATTGAAAATCAGCTGGTATTTCTAGATAATACTTGACAACTAATTCACACATTAATTAAAACAAACACTTTGTAATTTACAAAAAAACAGAGAAAAATTATGAAATGTAGTATTTGTAGCACAATGAAGAATTATCATTGGCACAAAGAAGTATATTTTTCTCAAAATGTTTTAATCTTCTTCGATTGAAGAATTGGAGGAAAACAACACTCAATTTTCATCTTGTTATCAGATTGTCTCCTGCATGATGGCTGCTTAAGAAACCTGTACAAATCAGGCCCGTCTTTTAACTGTCTTTGTATAAAATTGAAGTTCAAATTTCTTTATACCTTGAAGTTTCTTGAAACAAAGGAAAACCAAAAGAGAAAATTAAGAGGATTTTTTTTCTGTTAAAAAAAATACAAAAACCAAAAGATGAAATAATGATAAGGGCTGTATATGGCAGTTACAGTATCTACCATAGCAGCTTCAAGTGTTTACAATGCTGTGTTTTAATTTATTTATATCTTTACAGAAATGGTACAATGCTCTAGCCAAAGTATTTTCATGACCGCTGTTCTCACCCATAACTCAGTAAATATTTTCAGACTGTCTCTCTTCAGCCACTTTTTTAAGGCACTGCAGTTATGCTATGGACTACTTCTCAGTGGAGTGTCTTTCACTGGATGATGCATTTTTCTCTTTCCCTTGCTTGCCCTTCTCTGAGGACTTTGGATTTTATGTATTTTAGATCACTGTTGACACTGGGTCGACGAGCAAAGGGGGAAATCATGCCATAGGCATCTGTCTCTTTGACCCTATGCATCCTGAAGGACTTTTGGTGGAAAGCGTCACCATATTGCACAGAGATCTTCCTATGAAGAGCAGGACTCATTTCATGGGGTAATTTGGCCATGCTGAAAAGAACATAGAACATCTCGTTCACGTTGGTGTTTTTCTTGGCTGAGACTTCAAAGTATGCACAGTTCTCATCACTGGAGACAAGCTTCTCAGCTTCATCAGAACTCACCCGGCGATAGAGTTCACCGTGATCACTCTTGTTACCACAAATCACCATAGGCAGATCCCCTGTTTCCTTGGTTTTGTTCTTCAGACAAGATTTGACTTCAAGGATCTGATTCTGGAGCCTCTTCACTTCATCAAAGGATTCTCTGTTGTCCAAACTGAATACAAGAATGAAAACATCTCCTGCAATATTTCAACAAGGAATAATAAAGGCAGTTGGTTACAATTTTATCACACAGAAATATGTGTTTAAAAACAGTAGACAGCAAAACTATTATAAATTCTATAGATTTTTTGGCAGAATTTGCCAGTCTAATGACTTCTATTTGTCAGAGTTCAAAGCCCATAATACCTAATACTTTCTAATCAAAATCCATGCTACCTAGGAAGGTGAGAGCTAATGTCTAGCATAGGTGGAGAGTGTTAGGGTGGAGGACAGTAGTAATAAAACAAAAACATTCAGGATATTTAAATAAAGTAGTTATTATTTAAGAATTCACAGAACTAAGGGACCTGTTAAGGTATAGATAACCGAGCGCTGAAGAGGTTGCATGGAAGCATTGCGTGCAAGCTCATCTGGGCCATGCTCCGGAAAAGCCAAACTTCCAGGTTCTAGCGCACATGTGTGCCAGACAATCAGCTGGTTGGCACATATGCGCAGGCCGGTTTTCAGCACTGCCATGTGCGTAAAGGACAGCTGATCATTGCGTGCGCATTCATGCCAGAAACCCAGAAGACAAACAGATGCACATGCTGGGTGACATGGCTTTGCCATCACAGGTATAGATGCAGTGCAATGAATTCAGGTTGCAAAGCTTCTATGTCACCAGGGAGAATTTTAACCTTATTTTTCTGTAGTGGTATCCTCTTCAGTGAAAAATTGAATTGATACTATTACTAGTATTATTTTTCTTCTATCTTGTCTAGCTCTAAGAACTAAATGCTGAACAACCTGTGAAGTTTAATGCATTCAGTATCTAAAACATTTCTTGCCCAATCTTCCAATGTTTTCTTCAAGTTCCATTTTTACTTTTTACAATTTTCCATATATCAATCTCTATATATTGCTTGTTATTGTTTGGAAGCTAAATTTCATAAATTCTAACAGCAAACTATCTGACTGTGGTTGCTGTTTTATATATTTTGTAAAAAATGATGATGCATAGTATTGTCCAATTGCAGTGCTTCATGTAATGATAGATGCAGATAAGCCTGAAAAAGGAAATAGTTGTGTGATCCACTTATATTAAAAATAAGATTGAATCAGTTGGTTTCAATGTATTATGCATGTCTATTTTTAGTCAATCGTAATACACTTAAAACCATTTTTAAGAGACTATCCAAAGTTACAATGGGACTGAAAAAATTGACTTATGGTAGTTTTTCACACTTATTACTATTGTACCAGTCTCATGGTCACATGATCAAAATTTTGACATTTGGCAACTGGCACACATTTATGACAACTGCAGTGTCCCAGTGTCATGTGATCACCTTTTGCAACCTTCTGACAAGCAAAGTCAATGGGGAATCCAGCTTCACTTAAGAACCGTGTTACTAACTTATGAATTGCAGTGATTCACTTAACAGCTGTGGCAAAAAAAGGGTTATTAAATGTCACTTAACAACTGTCTGGCTTAGTGATGGAAATTTTGGGCTCAATTGTGGTCACGAGTCGAGGACTATTTCTATATAAATATCAAAAAATTCCATTGCTGTGAATGGAAATGTCCACTTCAGATGCATCGTTGGACTCACATACCAAAGATCATTGGTGGCCTCACATACAACCAAATATGGTTTTATCCTCTTTGAACAATAGACATTAATGTTATCTCGCATGCTGCTCTAGAAATATGTTTGAATTTTCTGAGCAACTTGTCATGCCACAAGAGTTTGTTTGTCCAAGAAAACCAAGGCCAAAGTCTTCTTGTCCAAAAGCATCTGACTTAGTCTTTGGGAAATTGGTGGTTGCCTCCTAAGGACAGGATTTAGACTTAATATATGGGGCAATTCTTGCCTTTTCCTTTTAACTTTGGATTTTCCCAAGCATCCTCAGCCTGCTTCTTCTGCCAAAACGTGATCTGCCCTGACTATGACAAACGTAACTTGCCACTGTTAAGCCTCACGTGTATGTTTCTAACCTGTGAGGATGGAGAGCCTCCTCATGGCAGGGAATGGATGATTCCCAGATGTATCCAAGATGTCCAGCTGATACATGTCACCTCGAATGTTGTAAACTTTGCGATGGAAATCCTCAATGGTGGGTGTGTATTGGTCATCAAAGCGGCCGTTGAGAAACCGAGAGACAATGGAACTCTTGCCCACCCTGGAGGCTCCCAATACAACCATCCGGTAGGAATTCTTGGCTGGCACATTTAAGGTGCAGTTCCCACTGGACATGGTCTTCATCATTGCTCAGATCTGAAAAGATGTAAAAAAGGAACAATTGTTACCAATGATAGAGAAAATAACAGTGCCATCAGAGTAATACAGTGGAACAAAAATTAACTATAAACAATGGCATGACAATGTAGCAACAATGCTGCATTGGAATATCTGCAAGAAATACCATTTACCTACAAAGTAAGAACTGATAGACCACAAAATAGACAAAGTAATAGAAAATGAACAAACTAGAGTACTTAGGAGCTTTAGAATTTAAACAGACAAACACCATCTATAACACCCCAGACATAACAATTGTTGATAAGAAAGGCAAAAAATGTCTGGATAGTGGACATGGCAGTACCTGGAGACAGCAGAACAAAAGAGAGAATTAGAGAAAATGACAAAATGGAAAGAGCAGAAATTGAACGATTATGGCAAAGAAAAGATAGGATAGTATCAATAGTAATTGCCTCATTTGGTACAATCCAAAATATCCGGAGCACCACTTGCACACCATCAGCATTGACAAAATCACTACCAGTAAATTGCAAAATGTAGCTTTAATTGGAACAGCTTACAGCTTATATCACTGGAGGGTTTTCAAGAAGAGATTGGTCAGCCATTTGTCTGGAATGATATAAGGTCTTTTGCTTGAGCAGGAGTTGGGTTAGAAGATCTCTAAGATTCCTTCCAATCTTATTGTTTTATGTTTAAGTTCCATCCTGCAATGATACTTTTAGTATCATCAAACAATAACATTTATCTATCCTTGGTCTTTGGGAATAACTTGATGAAAATGTCAAAGCCAGTCTAAACATCTGGGTGATTGTGTGACCAAACATCATCATCATAAAAATACTTTTCAGTGACAGTGAAATCCAATATTATCTTTTTTGCAGATAATAGGTATCTTTGGATGCTTTATTTTGACAAATATCTTTCAGCTAAGAATCTTGGAGAAGGAATATTGTGTGGGAAAGGCAAGGACATGGAATAACACCAATGCATATGGCACTAGTGGTTAATGGTGGACTAACCGTAGCTTAATTGTGGCTTATAGTAGTTAAACGTATAAACTCATCACCTACCATTTCTAAGTATCAGTAACAAAAAAGTAAACATCACTAAGGGAGGAAAAAGAAATCTTAGCAAATGGCATGTGGGGGGAAAGAAAATTCAACTGATGGCCCTATAAGTACTGTTTATTATCCCTGAATAAATCCAGAATGTTATTTAGATATTTCTGGTATAGTATAGTACTATATAAAAAGCAGAATATGTAAGGAAGGGACAACTGTTGTAATTCTTATTTCAGAGAGTATTCCAGACTACATTAGATTCACAACGTATTGTGAATTGGATTGATTTGGGTTATATAGACTTTCAGGTAATTAATTTTTGTGTAAATCAATTGCATCATTTTCAGCATTTTAAAATGCAGTATGAGACAAGAAACAGTCCCTTGTTTGAATGTCATTTCACCAGGTGGGCTTGAATGATGAGTCAGCCAGAAGTATTTTAATGTTATGGAAAGGCGTCTGATTACTAGCTATTCATTTATTATCTTTTTTATTGATAGGATTGAAAATAATTCTTGTTGTCCAGACTAATTTAGGACAATTCCATAAGCAGTCACTTTATCAGTACAAAATTAGTTCTGGATAGCTGCAAAGTTTAACTATGTTCCGAAACGGATTCCTTTCTCCATCAGCTACGGTGTGTCTGGAACTGTAATGCACCTGAAATGCACATGCGGCTGCTCTTCTACTGATGGACCTCTTGATTCAATGTATCTCCTGCTTGCTGGATTCAATCCAACCACTGCTTCCTTCCCTCCCCACAGAGCTTCCAAAAGACGTGTTACTAATTTAGTGTGATTATATTTCACTAAGTTGTTGTCAACTCTTAGTGACCATATAGATAGATCTTCTCCATGCTGATCCCAAATCTGTCTTTTATTATATGGGTTTGAAAATGCAAAAAGGTATGGGTAGCCTTGTAGCATCACCACCTCATAACTCCTTAGATTTTTTTTATACCACCAGATAAATGGACACAGCATGAAATAAAGATATGGGATGTGGAGCAGAGAGAGTCTTTCTTTTGTATGGAATAGTTGAAATTTGTTTCTTTTATATATGAGCAGAAGAAACTTGGCCCAGGGCACTAATTGAATTATGCGTTTCATACATCAATGGTTGACTGGGGACGGGGGATATTGATCAACTCAAGGGGTTACCTGCCAGTTCTCAATATTTTGAAATCTGCAGATGTGAAAAAGAACACATCTATTTCAAACAATTGAAACAATTCCTCACAAACAGTTTGTGAGGGATTGAGAAATAGACATGTACTACGACCATAGGAAATGGATGTGGTATGCTGATTGATTCATGCTATGTATATATGCCATCCAACCAGGGGACAGCCAGTTCTGACTCAGTGGCATAACAAATGAAAACTAGTTTGATGGAACAGTGCTGGGCTAAAAACTGGAAAAAAAGTGATTTCTATTCCTTTCTTGGTCATAAAAGCTGGCTTAGTTACTTCAGGTCATTTGATCCCTCTTAGTCCAATCTCTCTCATACCGTTATTGTTGTAAGGAAGATAAATGGAAGCATTATATATATATATATATATGCCACCTTCAGCTGACCAAAAAAATCAAGGTGAGATAAAATCAAAGAAATAAGCAATATATTGAAAAGTGATCCTATGCAAAAAAAGCTATCCTATCCTAAAGACAGAATCAAGACTCTTCAGAGGTTTTCTACTGGGTGGGCACCATGTCAGGGTTCCAAGTAATAAATCCATAGCAAGCGAGACTCCGAGGCATGTAGATTCCTCAAATAATACTTTTATTTGGAACTATCATATTGGCTCAAATCTGGTGAAAACCTACTCAACTGGATTTTCTGCTTTGTTTGTTTTTTTGAAGATGTTTCGCTTCTCATCAAAAAAGCTTCTTTAGCTCTGACTGGATGGTGAAGAATGGAAAGATTTATACTCCTTGCAGACAGTTGTCCATTTGCATTCTTTTAGCGAGTCATTAAGGCCACCTGGAGGTTTAGCTATGTTGTGAGGGTCACCTGAGTGGTGCAAAATGGGTGTGGAGCCTTCTTGAAACTATTAAAAGGACTGTGTTGTAGACTAGAGACAAATGATGTCTTGCTAAAGAATGCAAATGACCAGCTGTCTGCCAGAAGTATAAATTCTTCCATTTCCTACCATCTAGTCAGAATTGAAGAAGCTTCTTGGATAAGAAATGAAAGGTCTTCAGAGAAAAACCAGAAAGTTCAGTTGCCTCTTAAAGAAGCTCCTTTGGGGCAACCATGACTTGGATGACTGAAAATCTCCATAGACATTTGTTAATCCTTTTACGAATGGCTTGTTGCCTAAGCCTGGTGTTGGTATAGCCTTTCATACTGGCTGGAATCATTTGATAAGAATGAAGATGTGGAATGAAAAACCTGGGTGCAGACCATCAAATATCTCTAAGGAGTACAGACCAGAAAATGTCAAATAAGCTTGGTAAAATATGTAAATAAACATCCTTACAGAGATACAAATATCTCAAAAGAGTACAAACAATGTACTCCTTAGAGATATTTGATGGTCTGCACCTAGGTTTTTCATTCCACATTTTCATTCACATCAAATGATTCCAAATAAGGAAGGAGGTCCCGTTTTGGAAGTTCTATTCCTCAATCAATTTGCTTCTGATTGCAACCTCAGTCCCAATTAAGTCCCAGTGTGCCTAATTTTCTTCTTGCAAAGGGCCCTCTCATTGCTCATAAACAAGGTCATCAGATAATTAAAGCTTTTAAAACCAACCATTTAATCACCTTAATCACTTGTCAGCAATCTCTCCCTTACCAAGCTGTTTTCTATTCAAAAGAAAGAGGCAGTTGCCATAACACAGGCTTGATTAAACAGACTCATCAAGATTCTTCAGAATTTAGAAAACATAGGCTTTCTGATCCTAATGAACCAGATGGAGATGTTAGACCCTTTATTATTTATTATTTAGTCTTTGGCTGTTATGATCTTTCCTATAGTTAGTTCTTTAAAAATCATTTTCTAGCATATCTGTTAGTTTCTAGTGAACATGTGGTGTATTCCCACATGAAATTTCTGCACACCCTCATTCATAAATCGTTCTTAAGCCACAATTTTGTGGTTAGGCAACATCTCGCACAATTCTGTCTGACAGAAAAGATCAAACCGTCAACTAATCATTATAGAACCCAGATTTTACATTTTTAGATATATGCCTCTAAAATGTATTAAATGTACAATTAACATACAAATATTAGTATCATGCTGATACGCTTACCAGAAAACATTTACTTCCATGTTATTTGTAAATCTATTCATAGGTCAGTATTAGGATTTCTGCCTTCCAACTATGATCTTGCAGAATGTTTTATCCTATATATTTATAGAAGTGATCAAAGTTCTGAATTAAAATATATGGATCAAATCTTTTTCTTGCTTCCCATTCAGGGTTTTTTTGATACAAAAGTATTTTATCTTTGTTTAAATTCACACAGAGAAGGTTTCAGGGGTCAGACCTTAAGTTTATATCTGCTCCAAATACTGAATTTCAGGAAATCAAAATTCCATTTTGAAGCTGTTTTCTGCTCTTCAGCCTCACTGTAACAATTTGTTTGTGCCTTGTTCAAAATACTTAACACATTTGTCTCATCCTTTTGATTTGAAATGTTCCCTACCTAGATACAAAACACAAACCTTAAGAGTCTATTCTGCAGAATTGCTGGTTATGTCCTAACCAGCTGTTGATACTTTTATCTTCATGGTTTAGATCTTTCATTGCTATAAATACATTTCAGCTCAACAGCAAAGTGCTGCATTCATAATTTAAACATTTTGCATCACCTCATGCAGTTTTTAACCTGCCGCTCTTAAAAATAATAGCCATAACTTCTCCCTTTTCAACATTCATCTGCGATATGATTTTTAGATGTGGGAAATAAAACACTAATGAATGATTTGCCCTTGATCAGTAAAGTCAGTAATGATAATGGTACTTCACTATTAAATTGAGATTGTCTGATTCCTCCCAGCGTCTAAGCACCAACTGGACTTCTTACTATCTTATGAGGTGTAGTATATAGACAGTAAAATATCAAATAAAAAACAGAGGGATTTATGCGAAGGGGGGAAAACCGCTTCTTACTACAAATTAATTAGCATTGCTTTGTATTCATTTTGGCTGTCCAATTCCATTTGTTTTGTTACTGATTCCAAAAGGGCACCTTATCTGCTACAAAAGCAATTCAGATCCTTCAGCACATCTACTGCTGCAGCTTTTTTTTTGTGTGGTTTCTCAAAAGTCCAATAAAAAACGAGAAGCCATACTTGAAGATAGCTTAGTCTTTCATGCACCATGCCTATCCTCCAATTTCTCACCTCTCTGTTTTTCTGCTTTTCTGATTAAGTGATTCAGTTAATGTTTGGGGAGCTGTGTGTGCATTTGTGTTGCACTGAAGAGGTAAAGGAAGAATGCTGGAGTATTTAATTGCTGCAAGTTTAACTTCTGCCCCCCCCCCCTGCTTCTATTTTTAATTCCATTACTTTATTTTTAATGGCAATTTATTAGATCACAACCTTTTCCACAAGTTCAATGACAGTATTTTCTTCCAAACACTTCAGCTAGTTTTCTAGGAAACATGAAGATGATGATGCAAAAAGAGAAGAATTCTCCGTTGAGTTACTCAGTGAGCCCGTAGATAGTTGGTTTACTTTCTAAAGATTGTGGAATTTTTATTAATCTCTTTATTCCATTTAATTTATAATAATGGAAATAATCAACCCTCTATAATGGGTCCTTAGGTAACATATTTTCCAGTTTTATTTATTGTGCCTTTGATCTACAGAAGCTCTGAACCATTAATTGTTTTAGTACCATATTTTGAGTCTATGTCTACAGTCAAAGTGTAGTGGGAAGCAGTTATCTTCTCAATAGCATGCATCCATAAAATGGTGATACTAAAAACACATAGTTAGAATAAAAATGACCCATTCAAAACCGGCATGCAGAGAGACAGAAAGCCTGAAAAGAGAGCGAGTTCTCACTGAGTCCAAATAGCTGGTTTCCCAGACTATTGTTCTGTCATGAGCATCCAAAGCAAACAAATGCACAGCATTTATAGGAGGAATTGTAATTGCAAGCCCCTGTTCTTTCCCACTTTTTTGTCATTCCTGAATGGTTAAGTTATGAACCCAGCAATAAATTTTGCAAATCTAAATCCATTCTCTCTCTCTCTCCCTCTCCCTCCCCTCCCCTCTCTCTCTCACACACACACCTTACTTAGAAAGTCTTTAAATGCTTTCCTTTTGAAACATTCATTACTGCTGGGAGCTATTGTTCCAAGGTATAATAAAGATACAAAGCTCATCACTTACCTTTTCCTTCCTTGAGAAGGGAAATCTTTGATTCAGGTGCAGCCAGCAGCCTTGGTTCAGAGGACTGAATCAGCAGCTGCAGCCGCTGCAGCTGCAGCCGGAGCCAGATGCTTCTTCTCCAAGTCACTCGCTTCCTTACCCCAATACTCCACCCACACCCCACACCCCTTCACCAGGCTCCCGGGAGGGAAGGGCAACTGTGCCTCAGTGATTGTTCTATGCTGAATCAGGAGGCACACATGGCCAAAAGTTTGTTCTTCAGGAATCAGCACTCTGCCCCTTTGCCCCTTTGGACTCTGAGAAAGAATGCTTGATTGGGGTTTCTTGTGCAGAAGAGCTACCCACTCATCTTAGTTCACTCCAAAATAGAGCTGTCAGTCTCCTCCTTGCAGAGTTGTTGCTTTGTAACTTCAAATCTAGGAGGTTGACTTGAGAACTCTGCTGTGACATCTACCCATAGAAACTGGCCAATGCATCTCCCTGACCTCTGCCTCCCTCTGGTGCAGATTTCCAAGGGGGAAATGGAAGAGCAAAAGGGCTGGAACCAATAATATAAATAGCAAGAAAATAATTACAATAGTACAGAAGCCTCAATCCAAAGTCCTTGCTTTTATAAAAATTAACATACTTTTTTTTTTAAATGCTAAGATTTCTTCTGCCTTTCAGTACATGAAGTGATGCTTTCGCGTCTGTGACACAGTTGCCTTCTGTCTCTTCTTCCCTTTCAGCTGCTGGTGAACTTCACATTTCTTCCTGTAGCTAATCTGTTCACTTCTCTCTTGAAGACAGTCGTTGTCAGTTGTTGTTAAGGGGGTGGGATCTTGTGGAAGGAGCAGTAGGAGACTTTGTGTCAAAACAAAGTTTTTTTCCTTAATAAAATTGAGATTCTTTCCTCCCTGTTTATCTCAAACAGGGACTAAATAGCTATCATAATGATCTCTTATATGGTTGCTTGCTTTCTGAACAGCCAAAATTCCTCTCCTGCAGTATTCAAGTTCAAGAAAAGCAAAATAAGAAATGGATCAGAATGGCTCTGGATTTTATTTCAAGCCTACAAATTCAGAGAACATCTTTCTCCTCTGGTGTTTTCCTGCTAAAGGGAATCAAACTGACTGCTGAGCCTAATAAGGACAAAAGATGTTGTTAAAAGCTGTGATGTGTCTTTTGACCCAGCCAATCTCCTTCAATATTAAATCAGAATTGGATACTACTTATATCATTCTGCTGATAATTTATGAATAGGAGTTAGATTAGGCTGAGAACCAGAAATAGCTTGGAATTTCATTATCAGCCTAGTTCCCTTCTGAGAAATCCAGGCAGCTCATTACCATGGTTATATATTGGGGAGTTGGTCAACACATTGCCATAGTAATCATCCAAATCTGTAGTGGACAATATAGCATGAGTAGCCCTAAGCAACACCCGTTGATATTCTGCTGAAGTATTTCAATGGAGGTTGAGTGATAGATGGAGGCACAGAAGATGAAGAGAGAGGGCTTCTATTTTCTTGTTAATACATTTCTGCTTTAAATGTTAAACTTTGAGTCATCTTAGCTTTTCCATTTTAATTTTGATTCCATGTAATAATGGAAGAGCCTGGAAATGGAAAAGCAAAACTACATCAAAGCTAAAAAAAAAAGTGATAGCAATTTAAACATACTCTAATCTTACAAAAGATTTAGTACAGATGAATAAACCTTGGTCAGACATCAGAACTTTAGGATAAACATAAAATAGAGATACATTCCACAGCATCAAATCATGCAATGAAGAGCTGCTTTATACAAAAATCACAAGTGATGCCAAAAGGTTTACGCCACTATGACAATCTATAGATTATTGAGCTGTGAAAAATAGTTCTCTTATTTGAAAATAAGAAATCACAGAGGACTGTATTAATGTGAAGAAATGCATTTTTGAGATAATTGCAGAGTAGAATAACAGGGTACAATTGGAGAAAAGCATCTATTTCTCCAATTTAGATCTAATAGTCTTTTGAATCAGGTTTGACTCCAAGAAATGTGTCCATATACTTTTCTGCTACCACATAGAAGTAATTGGATTTTTCTTCCTTTTAGTTTCAATCTACCCTGCCTGCACCTTGGGATTTTCTACTGGTCTCTCATACAAGTAATAAAATCCAACTCTCTCTTTAAAAAAAAGTTCAACCAAGAGCAAGGAGCAACTACGGTACCTGAAGAAAATAAATAAACCATGCTAAAATAAAAGTTTGATTTATTTATGACCTAACCCAATTTATGTGATCTGAATTGGGAAATTGGAATGGCTGACTTGGAGGAGTAAAGATTTTTTTTTTGATTCAACAGGAAAATGGGAGATCATCAGCAGAGACAACTGATTGGCATTTCCACTACTGTTCCCTCTGAGATTAGGAGAATGTGAGCTGTGAAGGCACCAGAATATATGTTCTGTCTATGTCTGAAGCACAAAGCAAAAAAATGCTTTTCTGGCAGTGATTAAGAAGCAAGTTTTTTAAAAAAAACAATTGCTTTATTCTAACTCATATGATTTTATCCCATCCTGTTAGTTGGCACATTTGGGGGTGATCTAAAAAAATTGTTAATATGATTTTAGATTATGCCTTAAAGATGAGTAGATATTTTACAGCTATAGAGCCATATTATTACAATAACAGCTCTATTGATAATTCATACATGAAGCTATTATTATAATAAGAAAATTAACTTGAAACTCTGGTTTGCAATTCACTACTGTTAAAATGAGGTTTAACACAGATGCCAGAGAAGGTCTGTTCATAGACTGGATAAATTGTAATGTGGGTTTCTTTTGTTTTTGCTTAGTGTACCTTTTGAACTTAGCCACAGTAGATATATCATGATTTATAACTTAGCATATAGCATGAACCTACTACAATGTCCTACCTGTCAATGACTACTTCAACTTCAACCACAACATTAGACGAGCATACAATAGATACAAACTTAAGGTAAACTGTACCAAACTCGATTGCAGAAAATATGACTTCAGCAACAGAGTGGTCAATGCCTGGAATGCTCTACCTGACTCTGTGGTTTCTTCCCCAAACCCCCAAAATTTTAACCTTAGACTGTCTACTGTCGACCTCATCCCATTCTTAAGAGATCTATAAGGGGCACGTACAGAAGTGCACCAGGATGCCTACCGTCCCTGTCCTAATGTTTCTTTTTATCCATTTCATGTATCCAAAATCATGTTTATACATATATATGTTGTCTACTACAAGCTTGATGAAACAAACAAACAAATAAACAAGCAAATAATTGTGGTTATACTCAGAAGGCAACAGTTTGTCAAACTATGACTTAACCTCATTTGTGGATCTTGTTATAACATTGAAAAAGGAAAAAAAAGAAGAATCCAATGAGAAAGCCCAATTCATTTTTGATACTGGAAGATCAGATGGGGGGGGACGTTTTAATACAGGTGAATTTCATCAACAACTTTATATGTCTATAGAAATATAAAAGAACAGCCTTCCATTCTTGACAGGTAAATTTGTATTCCTCTCTTTAAAATACGACATGACTTTTATTATCCTCAGTGAACACTAAGCTTCAGATAGAAGAATGTCTGCCTGTATGTGTACTTTTATGTGTGTATGTATATGAATGATGTTTAAGCCAATTATTCTATGCAACAGTACTTCATCTTATCATTTGACAGATGGAGAACTAATTTCAAGGTGGCTGGTTCCAGGCATTGCTTAGCAAACATCTAAAATGGATGCATGAGTGACTCAGCATATTTGCTTTTCTTGGCAAGATATGAGAGTTTTATCTGCACACAATTCTCTCCATCAAAGAGATATATCAGTTCTTTTTTGGAAGTTTTGCCAGAAGCATGAGGGACAGAGGAATGAAGAGTTTATCCTTTTCCCTGTGTTGTTTTGAGTGCTCTAGCAACACAGTTGGAAAATAAAACTCATAAATCTTTCTTTCTTTGACGTCTAAATGGCTTCAGAGGCAACAGTGAGAAAAATTATAAGTTATGGCTAAGCATGAATTTGAAGCAAACCTTCTTCAAGCAGATTTGAAGATTAAGGAAAGTATGATGCAAGTGATTTAAAATGATCTTAATAGTCTCTCACATTGTCTAGTAGGGTCCTTTTGTTAAGAACATTGATTTCTTTTGAATGACTAAAAAATACATTACTTTTATTCCCCCTTTCTTCCAGATGAGGACACTGTGTTCTCACTAACTATGTGAAGATAAGCTGTGGTTTTCAGAGGAAACCATGGTCCTATAAACCATGCAATAAATCAGGTTTAAACAAACCATATATTAAGGATGTGATGTGACTTTTCTCAGAAATTACACTGAGACAGAAACAACTGAATAATGGCAATATCTTATATAGACTATTGGACTATTTTAAAATATGCTTCCAGACAGAAGTTCATCAAGCAGATTGAACAGGAAGTGCGTGATCACTAGTAGAAATCCTTTTTAATGTAAATATAATTTTTATTAATAATCTTGATTACAGTAGTAAAAGCTAATACAAACCAAACTTAGAGAAAGAGAAGAGAAAAAAGAATCATGCATGCAAAAAAAGCTAGTAGAAAAAGAAAGAATATAATAAAGAATATATATATATATAAAGGGACTTCCAACCTTTATCACAAATATAAACAAATTTAGTAACTCTACAGCCCCTACAAAATTACAGATATCTTTTCATCCCAGAGCAATCCCTTATCTATAAGCAAAGCCATAAAATCAACAATCAACAGAAAGTCCATAAAAGATTGCCAGAAGTAACAACAGTTCTTATTTTAAACATGATCAAATAAACCAATTTTATCTTTCCTTTCCTTCCTTTCCCCCTTTCCTTCCTGTTGTTTCTTCTTTTTCTTTTCTTTTTTCACTTTGTATTAATTGTTATTGTTGCAATTATAATCTTTAATAAAATTACCATTTTTTTCAATTCCACAAAAGACCAATAAAGAGCTGCCAGAAGTAGCAACTCTACTGTACTCTACTATATCTTGTTTTAACCTTTATCAAATAAACCATTATCTGTCTTCCTTTCTTTTACTTGCAAGGGTCTCAATCTTTAATTCAGTCAGATATTATTTGTACTTGATATTATTTTTAACTTCTAACATTCTTTCCTTTTACTCCTAACAATCTTAAACATTAATTCAATCAAATATTGCTGTAGGATTTGATTTCTCTTTGATTTTTTATCCTACTCCACAGACCTTTTCAATGTTTTAACAATCCTCTTTTGTATAGCCAATAAGAAAATATTTTCCAAGTTATTTTCTTGATTTATTGTTTGTATTTTCCATTTAATTTTTAAAACTTAGGCAGTTTCTTTTGTATATCCAATAAAAAGTCCTTTTCAAAATTATTCTCATTTGTAGTTCCACATTCTGTACTTTCTCTATTATTTTCAGATAAAATTTGTTCCATGGCTTCATTAACATATTTTAGACATAGTCTGTCCATAGAAGCAACATCATTTCTGATGATGTTGATATTACAGTTACTAACGTCTGACTTCA